ACAGGCTCGTCCCACTGTCATCCGCTGGGCTGATGGAGGCAAAGAGGTCTTCATCTCTGGATCTTTCAACAACTGGAGCACCAAGATCCCACTCATCAAGAGGTAGCCTGTCCCTCGGTCACTCTTAATTCTCCTCTGCTCCATCATGGGAAGTGTTTCCCCTTCTCTGTGCTGGTGGTTGTTCCCTTTGCTCACCCATCGTGACTATATTCACCCAGGCTGGAGGGTCTGAGCACAGATATGTAGTCAGCTTCTTCCCTGGGTGGTACTGATAAGTTGTACAACAGAGGGTCAGGACAGGATGGGCCACTTTGCTTGCCCAGCTCGATGTCACACAGCAGCTTGTCCCAGCAGCAGAGCCCTATGCAGTTATCTTCTGGAAGCTGTCAGCTCTTTGCTTGGCTGTGGCCTTACCCCCTGCCTAGTTGTATTGTTGCCAGCGGGGGTTGTTTGTTTGTCCCTCACATATCTTCCTGCCCTAATGATGTTCTTGTCATTCCATGATACATGACCCTGGGCGTAATCCCAGCAAATTGCCTGGAAAGGGTTTATCTCAATTGTGGATTTTACAGACAGAGCTGCTGCACTTGCTGTCCTCATCCTGCAGTGCCAGCACAGGGTTAGATGCTTTTCCCATGTGTCCTCCCAGATGTGTCTTGCAGAGGCTGTCTGTAACATCAACTTTTTCTGGACATGTGGGGCTGGACTGCCTCCTGTCCACTCCTTCCAGCTGGGCTTCTGAGGGGCTGAGCCACACTAGTGCTCTGAATGCTCACGCTTGTTGTGTTGTGCCTCAGATCACTGACAGTGAGCAAGCCTAACTCTTCATGAAGGCATGGTGGTAGAGGGGCTAGACAGTGCATGTTTTCTGGGACCCCATGGAGGAGCACCATCCAGAGCATCAACAGGGTAATGCTATTGCACCTCTCTTCTCTCTGCACAGCCACAATGACTTTGTCGCTATCCTGGACCTCCCAGAAGGAGAACACCAGTACAAATTTTTTGTGGATGGCCAGTGGGTCCATGACCCATCTGAGGTAATGCTCAAAGCTTTATCCCTGCAGGATACTAGACATGATGTAACTGCAGAGGGGGAAAAGGAATAGCAGAAGGTGTCTGCTGAAACAAAATGGGCATCTCAATCCCATGAGTCTTTTCAGAGGCTGGCTCCTCTGGGCTTAGACATGCCATGTAGGGGAGTTTCAGTGAGGTGCTGAGGAAAACACCAGAAAGCCTTTAATTCTTATGGAAAATTGGCTGCATGGGAAGATGGGCTATGGGGTCAGCACTCATCTGGAGGTTCTTCTCCAAACTGAATTATGGTAGCAGCAGGGGAAGGAGAGGACACTTACTTACCCATTGGCATGTAGCAGGATGGAGGATGAAAATAGGACGTGATGTAGGAGCATGGGAGTAAAGGGAAATCCTCCCAGTGTAAACAGCAGAGATCTGCAAGCGTAGAGCAGAGCTAGATACTGGCTGCCTGTGCTCTGAGGTAATGGTGCAGCAAAGACAGCTTGGGTGGGAGGATCTAGGAAGCACTGAGTGTTCTTTGGTGGGGGATGAACATAGGAAGACTCTTACCTCAGTTCTCTCCAGCCTGTGGTCACCAGCCAAATGGGGACGATTAACAACCTGATTCACGTCAAGAAGTCTGACTTTGAGGTGTTTGATGCTTTGAAGGTGGATTCCCTGGAGAGCTCAGAAACCTCAGGTCGGGGTGAGTTTTTATATATTAGAGCTTTGCATGTGCTATTTTCCATGTCCTCTGTGCTGAGACTCCCTGCTCTGGGGGTGAACACACCCCTTGAGCAGAGGTGGGGGCCTGCACCTGGGAAGAACAGTATTTGGCAGTGTGTCCTCAGCAGCCTGCAGCTGAGTCCTTGTCCTTATAGAGGGACTATGCTGGTGTAACTTGTTCTGTGCTAGCACCATCCCAGAGCAGGGTCCGTGCCTGTGCATGACTGAGGCAGCCGTTTCAGACTGGTGAACTCCGGGAACATCAGCCCGTTCTGTCTGCTCAGCTGTAAGTCATCTGATCTGGGGTACAAGCTAGGTGAGAGCAGGATCCAGGCTATTTTCAGCACCTACTCTTGGTTTTCACGCCAAGGTAATTTGTACTGGTGCTAGCTCATCTCAAGCCTCCCTGTCCACTTGTGTTACAACAGCAGGTTAGGTTACCATGCAGACACCGGCACTGCTGGCTTGGTGTGTAATGCTAGCAGGTAGCTCAGCTGTGTTCCAGTCCAGGGCCCTCTGCTGCCTGCCGTCCCTGGTATAAACCCTTTTTCAGACAAGAGCTCAGCTCCACAGCCTTGCCCAACCTGGGCAGGAAACACTTCATTGAAGCCAGCAAGCAGCAGCACCTCCAGGGAGGTGGAGCCCTTCTTGGATGCTTGTTGTTCCAAAATGATCGAATCAGATGTGGTCAGGAGGTACACCCAGTCCAGCTTCCAGTGACCACAAGCTCCCATGGTTCCTCACGGATTGAGCAGCTGCTCCATCTAGACCTCCCATTTGCCCTTTCTGGGACCTCCTCATCAGGCAGTCCTGGAGCACTGGAGCATGCAGGCATGCTGCTTGCTGTGCCCCTGCTGCACAAGGTACAGTTCTGGGCCAAGTTGGCTGCTTGCTACAGGTAGAGGGACCCAGCTGTGCTGAGGGCTGTGTGCAGGGGTCTTGGGGTGGCTTCCACAGAGTGCTTGCTTTGTGTTAATGCACATACCAGTTACAGACCTGCTTGGAAATGCCCAGGACTCACCTAGCTGCTTTTTCCATTGTGAAAAGGATGAGCTGTTACTGTAGGATACATGGGCATGGCTCATGGAAGATGTTTGTGCCTGAAAGACCCTGCTGGATCCTTCTTAGCTTCTTGGGAAGCCAGGCCTTCAGCCATTTCATGTCTCCTTCTTTCTCTTCTCTTTAGATTTGTCAAGCTCACCACCTGGACCTTATGGCCAAGAATTGTACGTATACCGGCCTGAGGAGCGCTTCAAATCCCCACCCATCCTCCCACCTCACCTCCTGCAGGTCATCCTGAACAAGGACACCAATATCTCGGTGGGTACCATCATACTGCCCATACAGAGGGAGCCACAGTGGGGTTGGAAGGGGAGTTCTGTCTGCAGGGACCCTGTTCTCCCCTTGGCTGGAGCCTCACCCTTGGCATTTCCTGGGAAAAGCATCACTTTTCCATTAACAACGCTGGTTTGGCTCCTTACTGGGCCTGGTGCTTAGCTGAGTTCTGTTCCTGTTCAGAACAACCACAGACACCAGCAGCTCAGATTGCCTGAGATGGCAGCTCCCTGTGGTGGCTGGAGCTGGGGGGTCAGGGCTCTGCTGTTCCTCTGTGACACTCCTCTTCTCCTAGTGCGACCCAGCACTGCTGCCCGAACCCAACCATGTCATGCTCAATCACCTCTACGCACTGTCCATCAAGGTAAGGACAGGTCCCCTGAGGCTGCTGGGTGAGGGAAGTGGAGCTGCTGTAGCTCCCAGGAGCCTGCAGCACTTGCAGGGAGCAGACAACAGGGGGGTGGAGATGGTGGTGCAGGGATCAAAGGACCCACGCAAGGACAGCTTAGCTGCCTGGTGAAGTGTGGTATGTGCAGGGGTGTAGGCTGTGGTTTCCTTACAGTTCTCTTTAGCTGCCCCCCTGCAGCCTGATGGAACTGGGCAGCCCTGGGCAATCCTGCTGTGTATCAAACCCTTCCCTTGCACTCCTTGTCACGGGTGTTGCACATGTCTTGCTGGCTCTGAGACTCCGGACAACAGGGACAGGCTGGGGCAGCTCCTCAGGCTTGCAGAGCCCTCTTCCTGATGACGGCTGTGGGGTGCCCCACTCCCAGTTTGGCACAGCCAGGCTGCACTGGGCTATCCCCCTCCTGCTCCCACTGACGCTGTGCCTCTCGCAGGATGGCGTGATGGTGCTCAGTGCCACGCACCGCTACAAGAAGAAATATGTCACCACGCTGCTGTACAAGCCCATCTGAGCTGGGGCCTAACCTGCCCCCCCACAGGACACCAAACGCCGCTTTGTCTGCACACACTGGGCTACAGGACTGTGCGAGAACTGACCGCTGGCTGCAGCCTCGAACTTGGCAGGGATGTGAGCCCTGACAATGAGCCCAGGGCCACTGGGGCTTGTGACACTGTCCCATCCTACTGGTGTGGTTTGATTTAACCCTTGGTTTCTGCTCACCTACAGCTCCCCTTGGCTTCTCCGAGTCTCTGGGGCCACTTTTGCTGCTCACCAGAACACCTTTTCCTTGTGCCCAGCATGGAAAAGGCTTCACCTGCCCATCTTCTCCAGCCTGCACAGACCCCAAGGTGTTCCTGGCAGTGCCTCCAGGAACATGTCCTGTCTGCTGAAGGTTGCTGTGCTGTCCTGGTTATGAGCCTCCAAGGCCACCTTGATCCCTACAGGCTGTGGGACAATGCAGCCTGCCCCATCCTGCAGCCCTGGCTATGGTGCTGCTCCCCTCCTTGTGCTCACTAGCTTTGAGGAAGGGCTCTCAGCCCTGGCTGCAGCCCCAGCCCTCTGCCAGGTTCAGCATCGAGCCAGCAGGAGGGAGAGTGCAGCTGGACCAGATGCAGCCACGCTTACCTGCCACTGGGACAGCGCCGTCAAGGACTGAACGCCCAGTCCCCAACATCGAGTGCTTCTGCAGGGAATGGCTGACTTCATCACAGCCAGAGGGACACTGCACGCCACGCTGGAGGGGCCTGGGAAGAGCGGAGCAGGGCACATATCCCAGGACCCCGGCTACACCGCCTGCTGCCAGCGCAGTGCCATGCAACAGGGTTTTCTCTATTTATTACAGTATTTATTGATCTCGGTGCTGCTGGCCTCATGTTGGAGGGAGGCTCTGGTGCAGGGAGAGGGGAAAAGGGAGCAAGAGCCCAGCGGGGCGCAGAGCTGCCTTTGGGGTGGGGCCATCCAGTGCCTTTTGCACCTTGTTCTGTGAATAGCCTGGGGAGCACAGCTGCAGAGACCTGTATGCCAGAAACACCACAACCTCCAGGAAACCTTTATTGGGGACTCTCCAGCCACTGAACAGAATGTGGCATTTCTTACATCCTCCCGCACTGGGCCCCCAACATGCTTGGAGAGGCCCCAAAACGCGGCTCTGATACTTCTGTCTATATACATATACATACATCCAATAGCAGGGATGGGTATGCAGCAGGGTTACAAATGGGACCAAGTCCCAGGGCGAGAGGTGCTTGATGTGGAGGGCTGTACACCCCACTCTTAAGTACTGTAGGTGGAAAGGAGTGAGCACTGACTCATGGGGCAGGCAAAGCCCAAGCCAGCAGCTGCTGCTGCAATACCAAGCAGAGACAGGTGGAGGGCATGCAACCACCACAGCAGCCCAAACCCATTAGCTATGTAGCACTGGATAGCCCAGACCCCTGTCCACACCACCCCTTGGAGTAGCAGGGACAGGGTCCTCTCCAGCCCTCCGGCCTGGCATGGCTCAGCAGCCAGCAGGCTGTTCCGTGAGTGGAGGTATTGCTCCCAGTCCTGCTCAAGCGACGGGCAGGGCCTGCTGGGCCTTCACCTGGCAAGAGAGAGCACACAGGGCAGTAAGAGGGAGTGGTGTCAGAGCAAGCCTGCACTGGAGGACTGCTGTGCTCTGGGGATGGAGCAGCCAAGGACAGTCAAGGAAAATAGGTCCCCATGTCTCACACACACACACACACACATTACACCCAGCTGGGCTCCTCAGCACCCCTTGCCATCCACTACTCTGCTTGCAGAGCATGGTGTGTCTGCCATCTGTGCCCATCCTCAGGGCATCAGGGCAGGGGCACCTGACCCTATCCCACCCTATCTGCCAGGGCAAACTCACCTCCAGGTTCGTCCTAGCCTTGCGCAACACACTGTGGGTCCTGCTCACTGTGAGGGGGAGAGAGATGTGGCCAGTGAGGTTCCCACACTGTAGGGCCACCCCAGGCACATGACAAGGCCAGCTTGGCCCTGCCATCCCACAGCAGGGTATCACCCGAGCCACATACACTGGCTGACAATGAACTGCTCCATGCTGTCCTTGAGCTGTGCTGTGCTGCGCAGCTGCTTGGCCGTGCTCTGCAGAGCGTCCTCCCTTTCAGAGAGCTGTGCCCGCAGCGCTGCGATCTCACCCTGTAGCACCTGCTCCTAAGGCAACACAAGCATGATGAGCAGGGAGCATCCAGCTCCAGCACCCTGCCAGCCCCTCCCCTGTGCTCACCTTGCCCTGGTGCTGGGCTGGGCTGATGGGCAGCACAGTGCTCCAGAAGGCAGTGAGGAGAGACACACACTGCTCCAGGATGCCGTGCAGGGTGCTGGCACTGCCCCAGAGGTGCCCTGTGCCTGTCCACTGCAGGGCCTGCGGGAAAGGGGCACGGGAGCAGATGCTGCCAGGGCACCTACATCCCACTGCATCCAGGGACCCACCCTGGCCAGCCCTCCACTGCAGGGCAGTACCAACAGCAGCCCCCAAGCTGGAGGCTGCCAGCTGCTTACCAGCCCTGCAAGCCTCAGGGCTGATATAGGGCTCAGGGGCCACTTTAAACATGGTCTGCCAGCCACTGCCAGCCCTGTCCTGCCCACACTTTACCTCGTTTCCCGGGAGCAGGCGGTTGGGCAGCCCAAGTGCAGGGCGGGTGAGACACATCAGCTCACAGGCCAGCGCCTTCCCCTCCAGGATGTGCCGTTCCAGGGCCCGGTAGGTGTCCAGGCAGCCAATGACATGAGCCCTCGTTGGGCCCTCACTCTTCCTCACCAGTGGGTCTGCCCCATGTCGCCCTGTGGAACAAGCAGGGCTAGGTGGGACCGCTGCTCGCTCCCCCTGTGGCCCTCCCTGTGCCATCCTGAGGCTTAGCTCTGCCCTGGGCTTCTCACCCTTGCTCAGCAAGGGTGCTGCCATGAGTTTGTCAGGTCTCAGCAGCTCCCGAAGCATAGGCATAGGCAAGCTCTGGGACCTACCGTCCATCTTCTGGGTCACAGACATGTCAGAGGACAGTGGGGAGAAGAGGGGTGCTGCTGAACTGGTGCCAACATCCCGCACTGGAGGAGATGGGAAGCAGCCTAGAATAAGAAGTATCTGAGCCCCTGCAGACAGTCGTGGCTCTGTGCCTGGGACTGATGGGATCTTGCCCGCCCTCTCTGCTTGCCAGCAGGGCCACCATGTCTCTCCTGCTGCTGCCGCAGAAGCGCTTGGGCCTGCCTCAGGGTTGCAGAGGGGCCAGGCACCCCAAGACTAGTAGCTGGGCAGCGGGCTGGTGGTGGAGGCTGGGTGAGTCCTGTACCTGCACGGGTCTCGGCAGAGGCGCCAGGGAGGTTCTCGTAGACGTGCAGCTCTGCGCGCAGTGTCTGCAGCAGCAGGCGGTGCTCCTCACACTGCTGCTGCAGGAGCGTCACCGTGTGCTGCAGCCTGCAGGGGTGACACACGGATCCAGTGCCAGCCACGCCACCAGCCCTGCCGGCCCCACGGCCACAGGGCCCCAGACCTTACCTGTTGTTGTTCTCCTGCAGAGAGCGCCGCTCGTCCCGGAGCTGCCGGACGTTCTCTTGCTGCTCACCGAGCTCCTCAGCCAGCCTCTGCTGCTTCCCGCGCCTTTGTTCCAGCTCTGCTTCAGCCTCCCGGGCCCGGGAGCAAGCAGCCATGAGTGCCTCCTGCACCCGCGCCAGCTCTGGGGACAGACACCATGGAGGTGTCACTGCCACCACTCTCTGAGACACAGCCCCGGGATGCTGGCAGCCCAGCCCTACCTTGAGAGATGTGGTCACGCTGGAGCCGCAGGGTCCGGTTGTCCTCACGCAGAGCCTTGTTCTCCCCGCTCAACTGCAGCCCCAGCTCCGGTGACTGGGCATAGACATCGCTGGATAATCCTGCCAAGGGGGACCAGTGCTTATTCTCTTTCCCCAGTATCCAGCCATACACAGAGCGAGCACCCTCGCCAGGCAATGGGGTGTGCAAAGCCCTAGCAGCCCTGGCCCCAGGGCAGCACCATACCACTGGCCTTGCCGGCAGAGGCCAGGCGGCGCTCGAGCTGCTCGCGGAGCCGGTCATTGGTGCAGATGGACTCCTCGAGCCGCTGGCGAAGGCTGCGGATCTCCACCAAGTGTTCCTCCAGCAGATCTGCCCCTGCCACAGCCATGGAGATGGCTCAGGGCAGAAACAGCTGTGCCACCTGCCTCACACCATCCCCTTTAACCTGTTCCATATCAGAGCCATGTCCCGCAGCTATTCTGCTGGGTCTCCTCCCCATTTACCTACACCCAGGCAGGATGCCCCCATTTCTCCAGCATGGACCTCACCTGTTAGCTTCTGGCTGGAGGGATACCCTGATGGCAGGCTCCTGTAAAGTGGCTGGCCAGGAGGGGGTATGTCCCAGAGGCTGCGGGTCTCGGTGGCCCTGGGGCTCTGCAGTGCACCGTGTTGGCAGGGCGCTGCTGGGACTTTGCTGCCGTCTCTGGAGGGGCCCAGTGGGACTGTGGGCTTTGCTGGTGCCATGGGTAGCATCACACCTGCATGCACAAGGGAAAGTGGTGAAGAGCAGGAGGGCAGTGGACAGGGAGAAGAACGGGAACAACACACTCTCGCCATGTGCTTTTTGCCCCCTTCTCTGCCTAACAGTGCAGCCCAGTGTCCCCCCCATGGTGATCCCCCACCACCCATCTCCCACCCTGGTCAAGCCCATTCCCCTTGAAGAGCAGATTGCTCTGCTTGCTGGTTGCATGATACAAATTGGAGGGTGTCAGCCCCACTGCTACGCAACAACTAACAAAACAAGTCCTTCTCCAGAGGCCCCAGGACGTGCAACTGCCCATCCAAGGGCTAGTGCTGCCTTCGGCTGGGTCCATCCCACCCACCAGGCCCTCTTTACATGAGAGTCACAAGTTCCCAGAGTGATGGGACCAAGCCATAAAGCAGTGCCCCTGAGAAGCAGGAGAAAGCCCAGGGCAGGAAGGGGAGGTCAGAGAGGATGCAGCACGGCATGCAGGGCAGGCAGAACCAACCCCACTCTGGAGGCACACGCTCACTTTCTCCCAGCTGCCTCTGGAGCACCTGCAGCTCCTGCTGCGCCTCAGCCAGGGAGCAGACAGGCTTCCCACAGCAACCCAGGAGCAGGGGGACTGTAGGGAGGAATGGGGACATGCCAGGGGCCAGTGCAGGCAGGGGAGCACTAATGGGTTTGGACAAGGAGTCAACGTGAAGGCCTAGAGACAGGAGAGAGATGGAGATAGATGTTAACACAGCTCTGGCTCAGCCTGGCAGGGACCCCTCCTCCTCAGGGGACACTGGCGCACCCCAAGCAGCTGAGCCCCCATACTTGGAGGCCCTGCAGGCTGGGACAGTCCATGCGAGGTCGGTCAGGTCCCAGCCTTGCAGGGCTGTGGTACCACCCCCCCCCCCCCCCCCCCCCAAGATGCTGCCCTGCAGCTCCAGGTGCTGTGTACCCACCCCCCAGGATGGCACACAGGCAGCCCCTGCCCAGGCCTGATGTGCACCCATTGCTGCAGGGACCACATGCTACAGAGGTACTGGTGTCCCCAGCCCACAGCTGTGGCTCCTGGGCACCCTGCAGTACCTGTGTGCTGGGCGGGCTCCTCACGGAACTGGCTGCACTCGCTGGCTGTGTCGCCATCAGAGCAGGGTTCCAGCCCCTCAGACACAAAGGAGGAGCTGGTGGCAGAGCGGGATGACTCGGAGGGTGGGCGGCTGCTGCCTGGGGACTCGCAGCGCTCCTGCAGCTTCACCTCCAGGCTCTCAATCACCTTCTCCTTTTCCTGCAGCTCCCGGCTAAGCCTATGGAGGTGAGCCTTGCCAGAGTTGGCAGGGCACTAACCCCCATCCCACTCCTCTTCCCATCTGTGCTGTGCACACTCCGGTATGACATCCCACCCGCTGCATCCCACCTCTGCTGCAAGGCTGCCCTGAATCATGGGGTGCCCAGCCCAAGCCTGGGGCTTCCCTCCCCATCCCCAGAGCAGAGGCAGCCCTAGAACATCTGTCTGGAGGAGAGACCCCAAGGGTACACCAGATCCCCACCCCAAAAGCAGTGACAGCCTATGTTGAACATGCAGAACAGGTCTCCCAAGCCTTTCCTCGGAACAGGTACCTCAGTGCCAGGAGTTCGTGACTGGTTTTATCATCTCCATCACATCGATCCCCTGAAAAAACAAGCCAGAGGTGAGCTAGTCAGTGTCTCTGTGACCCAGGCTGCCTGCTCCCAAACAGACCTATAGCAAGACAGGACAGCCCAGATCAAAGTGGGTAGCCCACATGACACAAGATGCCCAAATGTCCCAAACCCTTCAACAGAATGCATCAAAGCATCCCTTCCCAGCCCACCATGCCCCATGATGTCCAGCCCGCAGTGCCACCCCGCAAAGGTACTTACTGGTGCCCAGCTTGTCACTGAGCCTCTCAGCCAGCTGCCTGCCCTGAGCCAGCTGCTCCCGAAAGCCCTGGCCCTGGTAGTAGTCAATGTCGGTGCCACGGAGGAGGTCCTCAAAGGACCGCAGGGCATCGCGCAGGTGCTGGGCCAGGCTGCGGCTCACCCCACGGCCCTCCCGCAGTGTCTGCCGCAGATGGGAGAGCTCCCGAGCCTGCGCTTGGATCAACGAATTGTACTTCCTAGGAGGGATCAGAAGAGGGGGCTTCACAGGGCTGCCAGACCCCCAGAGAGCACGGCATGGACGGTGCTGTGGGGGGAGCCTGTGCACCATCCACCACTGGGGCTCTGCCCTGCCGTGCAAACACCCCAGGAGTCTGGCTGCAGGAAAAGCATGCAGCAAGAAGTCACCAAGCTTGGGGAACCCCTGGAGACGCCCGCAGCCCCCCGCTTGGTCCCGCTCCCCGCGGCCATACCCCGGCCAAGTGGCAGATTGCAGCTCCTTGGGCAAAAAGCCCCCGGCCTTGGCTGCGGGCAGCTGCGCCTCGAGGAGAGCAACGCGGTGCACCAGGTGCTGCAGGTCGCGGTGTGCCCGCAGGGCGGGCGGGCAGAGGGCGCTGTGGCCGTCGGACTGCCAGCCCTCGTCCTCGTCGGTGAGGCTGTGCGCCGGGGAGCCCAGGGCTGTGGGACCCGGCGGGGGTCGCTCGGCGCCAGAGGTGTAGCCACTGGTGATGGAGATGGAGCGGGTGCGGCGCTGCAGGCTCTGGATCACCTTGTTGGCATTGAGCAGCTGTGCCTTGAGGTCCTGGATGTGCTGGTGCAGGGCGCCCACATCTGCCAAGGCCATGGCTTTCTGGGCAGCCTTGCTCGCTCTGGGCATCCCCAGCTCCTCACCCAGGCTAGGCTCACTGAATACATCTGGCTCCTCGCACTCTGCACAGGGGATAGGGCACAGTGTCACTTCTCTATGCTGGGTGAACAAAACACAGGGATTCCTAGAGCCTCGCTTTTCCTTACCAGGGCTGGTGGTCTCATCCCGGTCGGCCTCGGTCTCGCTTCGCCCACATGTCTCATAGCCCAGGTCCTGGAAGTCCACCTGCACTTGCTTGCTGAGCTGCTGAGCATGGGGTTCACCTGCTGGGTAGCACCATCAGCTCAGATTCCCCCCCCTCCCAACAGGATTCACCCCCCCTGCCCCGTGTACAGCACAGTGCACAGAGCACAGACCCGCTGTCCCGCCTGGGGTTTTAACTCACGGAGCAGGACATGGTACTTCTCCAGCTGCTCGGCTTGTGCCCGCACCGTGGCCTCCGAGGCAGCAAGCTTGTCCTTCAGCTCCTGGCACTGCCTCTGTCCCTGCGCTACCTGGGAGCGAAGCTCTGCACCTAGCCCTGGCCAGCTCCCACCAGGGACAGTGCCCTCCACCTTCCAGGGGGGAGACAGACTGTGAACTCGCCATTCTCACCTCTATCTTCATCCCCATCGCTGTTCCCTGTGCCCAGGGCACTTACAGAACTCCTGTCCCCTCTGCCTAGGGTGCCAGGGCAGGGTCTCTTGGCCAGGTCATCCTGGGACCGTGCCTCCAGCGCTGGGCGTTTGGCGGGCACAGCTCCCCTCTCTGCTGGAGCTCCCTGTGCATCCCCGCTGCCGCCGGCTGGGCAGTCCCAGAGGGCACTGCGGCTCTTCCTCGGCAGCCGGCGCGGCTCAGGGGCCAAGGGGCCGCCGAGCCCAGCCTCCTCCTGCTCCCCGTTCTCCAGCAGCGACGTGGCTTCACCCATCCGCTCCTTCAGCTCTGCGTTCTCTAGGTAAAGGCTCAGCATCGCCTTCCTGGGGGCACAAGGCACTGTGAAGGGCAAGCAGCAGCAGGGATGCAGGATACCCCTCAAACTGCTGACAGCCTGATGGCTCAAATAGTCCAGGGCTCTTGCCTGATGTGGGAAACGGAGGAGAAGCCGGCTTCCTCCAGCTGCGCCTTCAGCTCCCGCAGCTCCTCTTCTGCCCGCAGCTCCCGCTCTGGCACAGTGGACGCTGTGGTCCCCACCACAGTGCCTGCACTTTCCTTGTGAGTCTGGAGGCTGCTCTAGAGGGACAAAGGCAGAGGGTGACAGGGATGTTTCTGAAGGGCTAGAACACCGTCCAGCACTGGCGCAGTGCCACCTGTGCCGCACTCTGCCACCCATGCTCCCACTGCCCTGACTCACGTGCTGGGTTGCCACACCGTGGGCTGCCTCCTCCTTGATGTTGTGGGTAAAGTTGGTGCTGGCATCATCAGTGTCTGTGCCTGTGGCCTGACCTAGGGGGTAGCACAGCACAGCGCACTCAAAGCAGTGGCACCACTGCCTCTGTCCTCTCCTCCTGATGATGCCCATGGCCACTGTGGGCAGCCTGAGGGCAAGTGCTGGCTCTCATACACAAGTGGTGCTGCGGCAGGACTGAGGTCTCTCCACTGTGTGCCCTGCCATCTCTCCTCTGCATGCTGGAGCTTCAACCCAGCATCTTGTGCTGGCCCAACACACGTGCATACATGCCACCCATCCTGCAGACACTTCATAAGCCACAACCAGCAGCAACATGCACTTGGTCAGGCACTAACCTGGCAGAAGCGCGGGGCACACCACACACAAGCACCTTCAGGGGCAGCTCAGGGAGGGCACGAACAGCCACGCTGCACATGTCACTCACACTCTGCTGCCATGCATGGCACTGAGCTCTTTGCAAGCCCTGTACTGGCATTGCAGAACTGCAGCAAAGCTAAAGGGACACTTGCATTCCATACCCCAGCACATCGAGGACTCAGGCCCACCCTGCCCCACAGAGCTGAGGTGAGGTCATGTGTTTCTGCTTGCATACAGCTCTGCTCCTGGCCCCGTTGTGGAGAGCCTTATGCCCCTTGTCTGGGCAGCTTTCCTCCCATCCAGCTGCAGGACCCTGCCTGCTCTTTGACCCTTTGACCTTCCCTCTTCTCCCCATGGAGAGGGGAGCTCGCACAGAGCCCATGACCATCCCCTGAGGCTGTTGTGACCAAGTTTCACAGCCTGTAGCTTGTTGGAGATGCAGCTGCTTTGGATGTGGCAGGTCTGGAGCTCCCAGGAAAGGCTGAACACAGAGCACAGGAATACAGAGAAATGCTGGCAGGAGAGACTAAACATTGCCAGTGAAGGAGAAACCAGCAGGGATGCACAGAGCTTCTGGGAGGGAGAGGTGAGTACCAGCTAGGAGCACAGCAGCAGCAGGGCAGGCAGCTGCACAGCACACTGGTCACACAGATGATGGCACACTTGGAAGATCCACTCTGGCTGCAAAAATCAGAGCTGAGCCTGGGCAAACATTACTCTGTGTGGTGGAGCCTGTGCACCACAGTACCCATGCCCCACAGAGCAAGGACAGACACCACAGAGAAGCACTGTGCCAGGAGGAAAATGCTTAGAGACAGCTGGAAGTGGCAGCAGCACCACAGTGAAGCAGCAGCTCTCAACCGTGGCATTTGGCATACACAAAGCACAGCCCTGTAAGCCCCCAGAGACACGACCTGCTGGATGGCAAAAGATCAAGGGCTAGAAATCAATGCCTGTGGGGCCCTGAAGAGTGAGTGGGTGCAGCCCCTCAGCTGCAGGCATTGCTGGGCACCTGAGATGGTGCTCAAGCTGGGTCACCATAGCTGAGACCAGAGCAGGATGGTTCACAGTCCACACCACTGCTGTGGGGACATGGGAGAACCACCTCTTGACACAGCACCCCTCTGCTCACCTGCAGCTCTGAAAGGCTCCCAGAGCAGCAGCAGAAAAAGGGAGAGCAAAGCCTAAGGAAAAATAACAACAGGGGAAGAAGAGGAGGAGATGAGGAAGTTGATGCTGGGGGAGCAGAGAAGTGGACACCTTGGGCAGTCTGTGCACAGGCTACTGTTCACCAAGTGCTTGAACCCTCCATCACAGCAGGAGTACAGGAGGATAGGTGCAAATTCAGGGGCTGCTCAGATCTCTGAATATTACCAGCAAAGGAGGCAGGAGATGCAACCCCAGAACTATTTTCCACAGCCTCCTCTGCCTTTCACATCAAGCCTAAGGGCAAAGAGAATTAGCTGCATGGCTTAAGAATTGCGTAAGACCACAGGCACAGGCCTCCCAGGTGCACTGGCTGCACTGGAAGTCTTCACACTGTTGGGAACAAGAGAAACAAGGCCCACAGGGAAATACAGAGAGGAAGGCAAGACCTCCACAAAGAGCTGAGACAGAAACAAAGCACTGCACAGTTTGACAGAGGGTGCTCCCAGGCTGGTCCTCCCACAGGGCAGAGGAGTGCACAGCCAGCGATATCAGGCATGAAAGAAGGCCCTAAGGAACAGAGCAGAGCAGTTGGAACACTCTAGCCTAGGATAATGCTTCCCTCCAGGGCACTTTGCAGCAGTGATGCTAACAGAGGACAGGGACAGGTCTGCCACAAAACACACACACAAGAGGAGATGAGAGCTGCTGGAACACCAGCTAAAATTTCCCTCATGCCCTGCTGAGTCCTGGGCTCCATGGTACCCAAAGGACCAGGCAGCCAGCTGGGCATCAGAGCCAGGATGGAGAAGGGAATATGGAAAGGTTAAAGACAGAGACACACTAAGGCTCCTACAAAGGCAGAGGCAGAAGGAGAATGAGATGATGCTAAACAGAGAAGTGAGAGGAAAGGAAAAGCTAACCAAGTACCAGAGCTGCCCAGCAGCCACCAGCTGCATCCCTTCAGGCCATGAGAACTGCTGAACTCACCATGCAGCTAGGTGCAGACCCAGAGGAGCAGCGCTGACCTGCTGTGTGTGAAGGGAGAGCTGTGCTGCCTCCTATCCCCACCCGAGGCATGGAAGAGACCTCAGCACAGCTACAAGGCATGGGACAGGTGGTGCCATGTGAAGCAGTCACGGGTCCAGGTAACAGCCTAGAAAGACAGAGCTTTTCTGCTCTATCATCTCCTAGTTCAGCTTCCCCATCAGGGAGAAGCAGATACTCAAAGGTACAAAATACACTCCTGCTGCCTTGAGAAGTGACTGAGTAGGACAGCTAACCCATAGCCCAATTGCACATGGGAAGCACTGGTCACTGGAAAATTGCTGCTATCATTTTTCAGCTCTCACACCAGCTCAAACACTCCCAGAGGAGGTGAAAGATGCCCTAGACAAGGTATGTAGTGCTGCCAAGCAGGACTGTCCCCAGCAAAGCAGGAATAGGGTGTTGCCCATTGGCCAAGGGGCATGTGGAGCCTGTGGGCAAGATGAGTGCTTACAAGAGAGGGAGCAGACCCAGCCCAGACTGTGGGAGCGGGGACAGGTCTCGGTCATGCCAGACCATCTGTCAAAAAGAGGAGGGAGCTCTCCCTTGAAGGCACGCACAGGCTGAGGTGAGACTGCTTACAGAGAAAAGAATCAGCAAAAATCATCACTACTGAAGTTGGATTTGGTTTAAGCATCAAATGAATTGTTAGTTCCACGCTCAAGACTTGTGCAAGAGTCGCAGGCAAGTGGCACCAGGCCTTGTGGCCCTTCTCAAATTCTCTGGCTCTGGAACCCACTTTTCCATATACACCTTCTCCTCCTGGACCAGCCACCATCAACCCAGAGGGGGGATGTCACTGGGTTAAAAATATGGCAGGGGAATACAAAAACTCACACTCATGCACTTGGGAGATGATAGAGACCATCTGGTACTTTCTTCAGAGAAAGGGAATCTTTATTTGGCCCATTAGGATGGGAGGAGAAGGGAGGTAAAAGGGAAATTAGCTAAAATGGAATGATTCAAATGTGCAAATACATTAGTGGCCACCAGGGTGGGTCAGACAGGAACGTACACGAGACACAGGTGGATTGCACTGATTGCCGTTTCCGAAGCAGCTCAAATCTAAAACAAAGAAGCCCTGCAGCAGTTCTATTGTACCATGACTAAGTACCACAGCCACCCTCCCAGAGTCAGTGAGAAAGGCGCTCAGTTAGTGAACCGTTTCCATAGCAGGCGGGCGAGCGCCAGTGCTCAGAAGGCATGCTGGGGTAGGACTCTCACACGCTCCTGTTCCCCACCTCCTACGGCGCCCTGTGAATCCAGCCTGCTCAAACACTCCAAGCTTCTTTCAAGAGCTTCTTCCAGCTGTCTCCGGAGCTCATGGACCCCCTCCAGCTCCACCTGCAGAGTGTGGTCTCTCGCAGCGCTAACCGGAGATGTCACACAGAAGGGAACAGGGTTAGAGAGGCTGTAGCAAGCACAAATGAAACCAGCCCCTCATTCCAGGACTGGCACTTACTCCAGGCACAGGCCCTGCGTGCTCCCCAGCCAGCTCATGCCTCACCTCTAAACCTCCCCAGGGCACAGCCACCCCCGAAAAAGGCTTCAGCCCATGGTAGGGGACTCCTAGCCACAGCTGTTCTTCAGTACTTACCCAAGCACCCCACTTACGTGCTCTCTTGCTATCAGGTAGCTCAAATATCCCAGAGGCTGCAGCTCCATGCAAGGCAAGGGATTAGTTCAGAGGACAGAGAATGCCCTGAGGGGCTGCAGCCTGGATAAGCACCTAGATAGATCCTTATCAACCCAACAGTTGTCTGGGAATTTGACAGCAGCCTCTGAAAGGTTGCCAAGTGTGGGTGGGAAACTGAGCTGGGAAGGGATAAACTAGGGAACAGAGATGGAAATCTCAGGGCCTGAACAAGAGGTGGCAGTGGGGAGAGTTTATGCAGCATTTAAAGCTGGCCACTGCAGCCTTTTTGAGGGAGGAAGACAGCCAAAAATCTGGACTCCCAAAACTGTATTTGTCTGGTTCTTTGCCCAGACTCCCTCTTTCCCAGTGAAGGCTCTCAGACTCACAGAATGATCACCGTTTTGGGGACTGCCCCCCGGGATGATCACAGCCTGTCACAGCAGCAGAGCAGAGCAGCATGGAGCTACGGCAGCCCCACTTACCTGTCTGGGTGTGTGTGAAACTTTACCAGGCTGCCATAGAGCTGTCTCTCTGCCTGGAGAGCCTCATTTAACCGATTCCTCTCAGCCACCAACCCTTCCAGCATCAGTAACAACTGGTTAGAGAGAAAAGACAAGATGCAACACTTCAGAAAAAGAGACAGAAATCAAAAGAGGCATCTGGCTGCTGCAGCAAAACTGGAGCTTCTCTTCCTCTCTTGCTTGTGTCCAAGAGATCAAGTTGATCACTGCCACCCCTGGACTCCAAAATGACTTCCCTTGAAACAAGTGCTAAAGTGAACCAGTCCTCTGTACTCCCCCTATCATACACAGCCAGCTTCTAAAACCAAGCACACCTCAGCATAGCCAAAGGCTGAAAAACAAAGCCTCATAACTGAGCACCAGCAGAAATGTAAACACATCCAAGCTCACCCCACATGGCACACTACCTGCTGCCTTCTGTTTCCAGTAGCCTCCTGTCCCCGTGACTCTGCTATGGCCACTTTCTCCCGAAGCACTAGCACTTCTTGGGTCAGCCTTTCCACAGCTGGAATTTCTTCAGGATCCACCAGCTGCATCTGAAGATCCTGAAAACCAACAGCAGGAGAGTTCAGTGAAGAAAGAATCAGTTACAAGGAGAGTTGGACCTTTGTAACCCTCCCTGGAACATAACTACCTAAAGTTTCCACTGTTTGGAAAGACCCAGGTCTCCTAAGAAATGCCAAAGCACCCAGGGTATATTAGGCACAGCCAACAGCCTAGGGCAGGAACTGAGAAGGGACATGCACTCTGTTTAAAGGACTCTCAAAGAAGGGTGTTTGGTACACAAAGAACCAAATAACGACACTCTGGAGGTCTGGCACCTTTGTCTTCTGGCCAAAGGAACGCAGAAAGTTGTAGGAAGCAATACCTTCCATGGACAGAGCCAGCCACGTTACTCTCAGGATGTGGGGAAAGAAGGGACTCCTCTGCAGCCTTCCCAGACAGAACTGACCCAGCATAGCACATTATCTCACCTTGATGAGATCCTCTTTGATCTGAATGGTCCTGGTCAAGGACTCTATATCTGAGGCCTGCACCTGCAGCTCTTCCTCCTGCGTGGCCACAACAGACTGGAGAGCAGTGAGCTCTCGCTAGGGGAGGAAGAGAAGTCTGTGAGACTTGACAGTAAACACCCCACTGCGAGCTGCTGCCCCATTTCTCTCACTGGGGGTACCCTCACAATAGAAGAGGATCCAAAACCTCCAGTAACAGGCAGCCCAATGATCTTCTGTAAGCATGAGAGACCAACACAGGTTCCACGAACAAGCTCACCCTGCTTTCTCTTTCCTTCTTTGCCATTAGCTCCAGCTCCTCTTTGGCATTAACAAGATCCTTCTCCAGCTCTGCTGCTGACACTGTAACTGCAAAGACAGACTGGTTACAGCAGGGACAGCATGCATCAGATCTGACCCCAGGATTAGACAGAATCCCTCTTCAGCAAGATAAGACCACAATGCTTGTGCTGCCCATCACACTCTTCATAAACACTTTTCTTCCCTGCTTGATCCTTAAATAGCAGCCTCAAGCAACAGCAACATCCCAGGCCTGCTGTCCCACTCCTGGCAAATTCAGGTGTCATGGCCCCAAAGGCAAAACCCAAGCCAGTTGCACTTGTCTTACCCCGCCTGAACCATAAAGTCAAAAGCCCTTCACTGGATGGCACCAGCTCTTGAGTAGAAGCACCTCACCTCAAACCCAGTACTTGCCTTTCCCATACTCCCAATCCCTAGACATCCCTGAACCACCACCCAAAGGGGAGGCACAGCTTTATTTCAGTATACTGACTTTTGCTCAAGGTATTTTGTCTCTCACAGTTTCATATAACCATGATTCCTACACACCAAAAAGCCCGGTCATGTTTGGGGACATTGAAAGAAGCTGTCAACACACTCACCCCCTTCTGTCCTGCAGCTGCTGTCCGTCTGTGGGGGTCCAGCAATGGCTGTGGCTCCACAAGCTCCCTGCAGTATTTCCTAAAAATACAAAAACCTCTAGGTTTGCACCTTTATGGGGGAGCTGGCACTTGCAGCTTCCCCAGAGCTCCAGGACTTCAGCACAGCTACTGGCTGCTTTGTTGACACCTTTGAAATGGGAGAAACCAGTGAAGGGGACCTAGCCAAGCAGTGGGGACAAGTGAATTGCACCCAGTCTAGAAGCTGTGCATGTGGGCAAAAGGGCACTGGCCTTGTTTTACTTGGCACTGGAAAGCTGCTGGCAGTGTCTGCCTTCATAGTAAGGATTAAACAGGTTTCACTCAAATGCAGCAAGCCTATCTTTCAATCAAAACTCTACGAAGACCTATCCCTTTATCCAAGGATGTGGTCCAGAGGGACCATGCAGGAAGGAAAACACAAAGCTTGGCCCATATACACGCCTCTGGAAGTCTCTAGAGCTTACTGTGACCCTGGGAATAGAAATGAGCAACCTGTTTACAGCTGCTTAAAAATGTTCAACGCATCAGCTCACCAATAAACCATTAACAGCTGCTCAAGTAGGAGCATGGCATATGTATAGCTTTGGAGCTGTGTTCACCCTCAAAGGGGTTTTTAGCAAAGCTGTTTTAAAAATATCACTCCAATTGTGGAAGAGACAGCAAACAGCCAACAGTCTCTGCCAAGAATTAGGGGGACCTAAAATTAGCTTGCTTGTCCCCTCTAGAATGTGACAAGTGTCAGGGAGGGGATTACAATACAGCAAGGCAGCCCAGCCCAAGGAAGGACTGGGTCAATGCTGGAAGGTCAGAGGGTGGATTTCTTTCATACTCTCACGTGCCCTAAGGATTCAAACACTGCCTAATCAAAAAGAAAGGAGACACTGAGTGACAAAGGCTGGTGGCATCAAGATTAGAATATTCAGGCAGCATTTCTGCTCCTGAATTTATTTTTCTCCTACATAAACTCTCTTTCCTGATCCAACTTTGATTCCTATCATTCCCTGCTTCACTCTCTACCATTTCCTCTGGGCAACTTGTTCTCTCTGGAGCCCTGAGGTCATAGGCAAAGAAACACAGTGCACAATTCTTACTTGTATGGGCTGTTTGTCCTGCTTCAACAGGCTGGCACCAGCTGACTGGGTCCCAACAGGCTCCTTCCCCAACACATGCTGGCGCAGGAGTTGTAACTCAGAGCCCCTTTCAGCCAAAGCGTGCACCATCTTCTCAGCAGCCACCTGATTGAGCAGGAAAAATAAGAGAAAGGGTAGGATCTCTGTCCCTCAGCTTCCTTAGGGACTAAGAAAAACCATCTCTATGTTCATCTGTCACTTGAGAGTAGAAGTGCTCTGTAAGTCAACCTGGGAGCTACTGCTCCAGGCCACCCACAGTTACTCCACTGCAGCCCTCCCATCTCTACCTGCCAGCCAGCTGCAGCAAGGCTCAGCCCCTCTGCCTACAGAGGAACAAGCTCCTCAGTCTCTCTCAGTTTAGGAGGGGAGAAAGATAAGAGGACAAACAATGAGGAGGAGGCACTGCCTGGCCTTTTAGCCCCCTTTTTATGAAAGGAAACTCAATACAAGGTATCTTGGGTAACACTGAACTGCACCCACTGTGTGAGAGTAGGCAGGGTGGGAACAGTGGCTCTTTAAGTGGCACTGACATGCCCAGGTCCATGCACTACTTTGATTAATGTTTAAGTTAAGAGGCAATGAGCAGAACTTCCTCAGACTTCTGTACTATACAAGGAACAGCTGAGTGTCTTCCTTCCTATTCTGGTGACACAGACATGTAGCAGCAATGCTTCCACAGCCCCTCTGGTGCCCCAAGACCAGGAACATGGCTATCTAGAAGGGTCTGCACCTCCTTCCTCACCACACACACAAACACTGCCTTCTCCACCTAATGACAGAATCCTCACACTACAAGAGCTGCTGCTTCATAGCTGCTCTAAAGCAGTGGGTTAGAACCAACCTAGAAATGGCTCATGGCATCTCACATGGTTCTTCAATACTCAAAGCTCCAGCAGGCTACACCGACAGCAGCAAGAGAGCAGCTTCTATTTGCTTAATGCAAGGCAGGGTCATCCACCCCAGCTTCCTCACTGCAGCACAGCACACAACTCACTCTGCTCTGCTGCTCCTTTGTGCTCACAGCTTGTAGCAGCTCTCGGATTTCAGCATCATGCTCCATGGTCTGACGGTTCCTGTCACTGAGAAGATCTTGCAGCATTTTCTCCTTCTGCTGGAGACGCAAGCACAGCTCCTCTGCTACCTCACTCTGTCCCGGGCCCAGCTTGCACAGCAGAGTTGCTGTAAGCTCCTGAACAAGGGGGAGGAAGGGAGAGATGGAGAGACACTGTTACCATCAAACTACAAGCTGTTCAAGGACAAACAGCTCTTCAGCCTGGGTGTAGCTGAGAGAGCTGCACAGCAAACACAGCTATCCCAACACACACAGGTATTTACAGGTGTCAAAAGCAGCCAGCTTCCAAAGCACTAGGCACAGGTTCAAGTGTCCTCCTAAGAGGCAGGCAGCCAGGAGTCTCTGGTTTGGGATCACTCTCTTTGCAGACAAACTGGCTGAAGGCTCAGGGAGCCAAGCTAAGGCCTTACCTCCACTTCCTTGTTCCTGTCATGCAGGCAGGTCTGCAGCTGCTGGATAATTCCCTCCTGCTCCTTCTGCCTGCTGCAGGATCTGGCCTCTATCTCTTCCTTGAGCCAGCGGAGGTTTTGGCAGGTTGCTGAGACCTGCTCTAATTCCAGGGTTTTGGCTTTCAGGAGGCTCTCCAGGCTCTGAGGACAACAGAAGCAGCTCAACCAGGGACAGAGCTTTATTCTGAATTAAGCAAAACTGGAAGTACCAGTGCCTCCTGCTAGTGGAGTCACACAGATTCACCCCATCCTCTTCAGACACTACACTCACCTTCTACACCTGACCTAAAGACATGAGTGACACAGGAACTTGCCCTGCACACAAGGCCAGAGGAAGGCCAACACCCTGCAGCAGCTCTCCCCAGCAACAACCAGAGCATTCAGGAAGGTCTGTCTAGCACCACACCACAGCCAGGCTGGACTCTGCATGCCCAGGTACAAGCACTCACATGAATGGTGGCCTCGTTGTTAGACAAGACGTTGCGCAGCCTCTCCAGGTCAGTTCCACGCTCCCTTATTGATAGATGGAGCCGTTGCAGTTCTTGCTGTTTCTTCTCCAGGGCACAGAATTTCTCATCTACTGCTTGCTAGGGTGAGAGGGAGTGAATGCTCAGATTAAGTGGCAGGGCACTGCAGCCCACCACCCACTGTGTGGGATGCCTTAGCTCTCCCTTTCAGACGGCTCATCTGGAAGGCTGAGCCACAAAGAGCACATAGAAGACATCATCATCCCTGGGGCTGCACCACTGATGGTAGCCCAAAGCCTGAGCCTCAGGGAAAATTGAGACATCACCAACACACTGTGCTCACCTCCAGAGCAGCATCCCTGTCACTGACTCGCTGCTGCAGTTTCTCCAGCATGGCATTCATGGCTGCAGGGCTCTTGTCCAAGCTTTGCTGGTATTGCAGAAGCTCCCTTGATTCCTATATGTGACACAAACACAGCTCACAAACACCTTGATTCCTATATGTGACACCCTAATACAGCTGTCAGGCCAGAAACCCTCAGCAGCACAGGAGAATCAGGGCTAACTACCACCACCCTACACCTGCTCTAATCCCCACATTGAAGGGTGGTAGAGTCCCAGCACCTGGGGCTGGTTGACTAGTGCCTACCAGGGCTCACCAGGCATCACTGTGGGCTGAGGTACTCATATACTTGTGCCTTCTTCCACATATCGGGAGCCCAGAAGTATCTCTTGCCTTCTTCAAAGGGCACATGTGAAGACTACAGACTCACTCTTGCATCATCAAATACCAAAGGAGGAGCAGGGGCCCTGGTTAGTTATGCTCAACTTGAATCTTTCTGCATCTCACCTGGAGAAGCTGTTCCTTGCGAGCCAGGTGCTGACTCAGATGCTGAACTCTCTGCTCCTGGGCCTGCAGCTCACGGCACTTCTCCCACTCTGCGGTCTGGAGCTGCTGAGCCTTGTTCTGAAGCTCTGCCTGCAGCTGCTGTACCACAGCACGCAGCTCCTGCAAGAGAAAAGCATACACCTTGGCAGTCAGTCCTCACAAACCTGTAAACAGCAGGCAACAGGGGCTGTGGAAATAGCCAAAGCTGTTCTGCAACATCACAGCTTTTACATCTTGAAGCGCACTTCATAGTGAGTAAGTTTGATTTCTTTTTTTTTCTTTTTTCTTTCATTTCCCAGAATATCCCTCCATCTAAACACCTTGCTCAGGCCACAGCAGAACTTTACAGTCGATCACAGCTAACCTGTGCAGCAGTGGACATTTGTAACATTACAAAGAGAGATGCAACATTTGCACCAGCCAAAGACATACAAATGACAACAAACTCAGATTTGCCACATGTTGCCAATTCTAAACCCCTAGATATGTAACTAAGAAGGCTGGAGAATTCTCTCTGACACACGTCACAAGGGGCTGGCCATGTCTGCCCAGACTGGTGCAGGCAGAAATAATGAATGAGAAGAGAGTATTGACTACATTAGTGCTTCATAAGTCATGCAAGCCCAGAGACTTACAGGCTAAGTGCTTGCCTTATTACCTGGTTGTGTTTCCAGGTTGCCTCTTTCTGCTGTTCTTCCTCATGCACCATGGTCTCTAGCAGCTGGGCTGCTCTCTTGGCTTCAGCCAATTGATGCTCTTTCTGGCGCTGTGCTCTTTTCAGTTTCTGTACCTCCAACTTGGTGCAGAAAAGCATGCTCTGAAGATCTAGCAGCGACATTTGCTGCTCCTGCAGTGACAGCGGGCTCTCCGACGTCTAACAAGAGCAGGAAGCACAGAAACTCAAAGGTCAGTTTCTCCAGAGGGATTTAAAATGAATGCAGAATGAAACCTGATATATTTGAGGGTTTCCAGGGACATACCTGCAACTGTCCCAGATGACTTCTGTGTAACATGTCCTGCAGCTTGGCCATTGTCTCATTCTGCCCTTCAATGATTTGGTAAAGTTCTTCTGTCTAAAAATCGAAGGATAAGAAGCAGAGCCATTGGCAAACCAAGCACAAACCCTCTTGTCCCAAGCCCCCATTGGGGATTGACATGAGCATCACACAGAAGAGCTCTGCAAGAATAATTTCATGAGCACCAGGATACCCAGCAATTGCTTAAGCATTCCTTTTCAGCTGCTACCCACAGGGCTAACACACTTTCCTCTTTCAGCGAGCACCACTATGTCTGCCCAGAACTATTACCTTGCTCTCTTTGCTCTTCAGGGCCTCATTCAGACTCTGGATTGTACGATCTTGCCTCTGCGATGTTTCTTGGACAGATTTTAATTGAAAATTCAAACCATTCAGCTTTTCCTGTAACAACTGAAAACAGAAATATGTTTGGGGTTTTGTTCTTTTTTTTTAATCCTGCCTAGTGCTCCACATAAACACCCTTAGGCGTGCTTCTATTCCTTACTCAAGTTCATACAGCTCAGGTGTTCACTAGATCAAGATTAATGTGGCTCCCTCTAGAATATGTTAAGTACTGTGTAAGCTGGGTGGAGACCAGTGAGCAAACACAAGGCCTTCAGCCCCTCCACAGGACTGTTTCAGTGCTTTGGGCTTTCCACTGCAGCTCCCCCATTCAGGGCAGAGGTACCAGGCTTAGGTTAACATACCATACGGACTCCCACATACTCCAGGAGTCTTGCTGGGATTGCCCAGCAGCCTTCCCAGCTTCTGTCATTTGTGTCTTTTCCTTTAAAAAGAAAGGGATTGCTTCAGCCCAAAAATTTCCCAAGAGTTCTTCAACATGAAGAAGCTACACATACTAAAAACTGTCCCCTTTACTTCTGAAGTCCTCCAGAGCAGTGCAGATGCCCCTTTACAGTCTTCCTGCCCTTTCTCTTCCTGTCTTGACCACTCAGGCACTCTTGCAGCACCTGCTGGTCTAGGTAATCTGACATTGGATCAGATCAGTGGCTTGTTTAGCCTCAAGTTCTGGCTTCAGCACAGCAGAATCTAGCCAGTGCCAGCATGCCAACAGCACAGCTGCAAAGCAAAGGGGAACATCTCACTAGTCTCTGTGGCTGGTTTACAACCCAAGAAACTTCTGCCTTTGACATTTTTACCCTAAAGAGACTACCATCTCAAGCAGGTTTAGGACAGTTCTCTGTTCTCTCCATAATGTTCATGAAGCAGCACACGTTGCGCATTTACACAACTCCTAGTTAGCATTTCTAAATTTGTTCTTAATCTTACATGATACACATCCTCCTCAAAACTTACTCAAGCCTCAATTTCTTAAGCAGTTGGTGCTGCCACATAATTTACTCTTGTAGCTCATTAGTTTATACACCTGTCCTATTATCTCTTCTCTACAAGATACTCCCCCTAACCTGTTTAAACACTCCCAACTGCATTTACTAGGTCTTGAGCTCCTATTTGCATGTTAACCACTGTGATCCAGACAGCTTCAACAGCTTACAGCCATCTCCAGAGTTAAATAAAAATCCTATCCCAATGTTTTTTTTTTCCCATTTAACCCCTCTGTTTTCCCAGTAGGTATAACTTACTTTAGAGTTTAAGAGCTTAACTGAGAACATCTATGCCTTGTAACACACGTTAAATCTGATTTGCCTCAAGACAACTCAGATTCATGTTTCTTCCCCAAGAAAGCTTTTAAATCAAAATTAAAACATGCCCCTGCCCCTGCACTGATCTCCCTTACTCCTTCAGAAAAAGGCAGCAGCTGTCTCAAAAGGCAGGTGCCCTTCTCTCCTGCACCAGGCTCAATCCGTGCATATCTGAGAGACAGAGAAACAGCTGTATGTGTCTCTCCTTCAGAAGGCTCACCAGACAAGTGGGAATTTCTACCAACATAATGGTTTGCAAAAATAAACATAGAAAATTACACAGCCCAGCTGCAGAAAAAAGGTAAATGTCCTTAACTTAAGCAGGCAGACAACACTGAAAATCCTGTGTCAGCACACACCCTTGCTGTAACAGAGGTGCAGATGCCTCTGGCTAGGCTAGGAGGCACCCTCCAATACTAACTACAACAGATTCACTAGGCACTGAATTTGCTGTTCATGAAGAAATACCTTGTTGGCAGCTTCAACCTGCTGGATCTTGCCTTGCAGCTCTGCAGCACGCTGATGGGATATGTGCTCCCCTGCTGCAGGGTCACCTGGAGCCAGCTGCTGCTGTTCATCCTGCAAATTCTGAAAGGAAAAAGAGCAAGAAATGGCTCAATTCTTGCATTGGCTTCTTCTGTTCAACTACCAGCCTTCACAGACCCCACTGTGCTTTTCTGAATGTCTCCAAAACATGATGATGCCCATGCCTCCCTTCACCTGGGTGGAAGGCTGGGCTCTCCTTTGCATCTCCCCATGCAATTGGGAGCAGCACTCATACCGTGTGCAACTCCCTGCAGCTCCACAAACCATAGCCATTTCAGTGCCACAGCTGAGGTTTGTTTCATGACACATACCCATTTATTGGGAATGGAAGCAGCTTACTTCTTGATGCATGGCCTGCCAGACCCTGCTGGCTGAGCACATACTAATCCCTTGTCATCCCCTCTTACTATTTTGCTCCCTCCTGCTGTTAACTCCTTAAAGCAACATCCAAACCCAGCCACCCACCCCAGCTCTCACAGGGCTCGATACTGCCAAATATCATCAGCAACACAAGATCAACTGATCGATTGTACTGGTGTCTCTTACAGTGGGAGCCCTAGCAAACACAGGGCTGCAGTGCAGAGTCTATGAGAACACAGCAAAGCTTTTCAGAGCTCACACAGGAGCACCAGCTCCAGGCAGCAGAGCACAGGGAGAACAACAGTCAGCTCTGATTAACCCCATCAGACTGAATCCTCATCTTCAGCAGCCACAGAAACACTGTCTCTGGGAAAAGCAGTGCAGGGGAGCTCCCCAGGGCTGTGCACAGCCTCTCAAGCAGAAGCAATGCTTCCCTTTACCCTGATGTTTTGTTAAGATTTTAGTGAAAACCTGAACAGTCACAGCAGGTAATTTAAAATATGCCCACCCAGGAGGCTTTGGATGAGACGGGGAGAGCTGCTGAAATCTGGCACACGAATGGTTGATGAAAACAGAATAGTAATAACAAGAAAGGAAAAAACAAGAAAGGAAAATACACCTTTCCTCACAATTTGCACATTCTAAGGAAAAATAAGCAGAAAGCCTGCAAAAAAAACTAAGAGCAGGGAAAAGAAAGGCAGAGCCATCTCCAGAGTCCAAAGTTCTAAAGCACAAGCTGCCTCCCGTGCTTCCCTGCAGCCATGTCAGGAGCACGGCTCCCCAGCAGTTTCTCCTGCATCAGCATTTTACTGGCAATGTCTCCTCAGCACAGCTCCAGCAATGCACGAACACACTAACCTACACAGAACACCTCTTTAAAAATAATATTCATGGCACTATCTAAGCTTGCCAAACTCCCGTTTACCCAGAACAGTGGGTAAAAGATTGGCTGTCAGTGCAGTAACGCCTCCCTTGCTGCCAACATGGCACGGCAGGCAGCTGCAAGAGTGTGCCTGACAAAGGCTTGGTCTGGTGGCACGTTCCTGCAGCTGCAATGACAGGGAAGAACCGTTGGTTCAAGAAAATGCCCAAGATGACAGTACCTACAAGATCAGATTCCTCAACACTAGATTGCTCTCAGTCATTGTAGCTTACAGCAGTAAGATTAAGGAACTGCAGTTTCTCAAAAGCTATAAGGGAACTGTGGTCCTATATATTCCTTTCACATTATTAGAAAGGCACTGATGCATATGTATCACTGGACAGCAGGACCTGACTTTTAGAAAGAGTGCTGTTTGTACAAAGAGAAATAATCATTTATACAAGAACTATTGAGTCTAGTAGCTGCATCTAACTTCTTACTTTTGCTGTTAAAGCCATCCAAAGTATTAAGCCCTTTCCCCCTTCAGCCAGAACCTGCACTGAAGACCACAATTGCTGCTGCCACAGCAAGGAGCAGGCAATAAAAAAATCCTGCAGGATGAATTCATGGCATGGATGGTCAGACAGCAGAGGCTAGAGACTGCAGAAACTCCTCCATCACCATTCCCACGAGGATGGCAGTGCGTGACACAGAGCTAAGCCATGAATGTACAATGCTGCCTGCACCACACTGGCAGGAGAAAACCTAATTTTATGCTGTAAATATATCCCCAGCAGTGAAAATTAGTAGCAGGTGACACAGATCACAGGAGCAGCACCAACACCCTGCTCCACATCCTCAGCCACCGCCTGCCAGCACCACGCCTTTGTGCGCCAGCTGAAAATTAGGTTTTCTACATTGCCTCCCTGAATCATTGCTTGAGCAGGCTTGTGGAAACAGCACACAGCTCTGGGGAACGCCCGGGCAGGCAGGACAGCAAGCAGCACTGCCTGAACAGGAAACATAATTCAGTACAGCCATAGTTGCCATAGCAATAAACAAGCATTTTTCTAATCCCCCAGGCTACCTACAGCATTAGACAGCACTAAGGCTGCTAATGGGAATGCAATTAGGCTGACATGGATATTCCTGAATTGAAGCTGACTAAGGCCTTCTATTCATTAAGGAAAGTGACAAAAGGAGTTACAAGTTCAGCTTTTTGACTGCATGCTAATGAAAATTTCATTAAAGCCAGCAAAGCAGAGGCAATCTGGAGCTGCATCAAGGACTACCATCAAGGTGAATAACAGCACCAAGAAGTCCCTCAGAAGCATGAGCTTTCATCACCTCTCAGCAACACCTGCTGCCAACTGATGAGTCTTTTCAAAGGATGAGAAAATAAACCCATTATCTAGAATACCAACCCTAAAGTCATTATCAGACTGGCACAAATCCTCTGGCACAAATTCACCTGCAAGAAAAACACCTTTTCCTCAGGGCATGTGCCACAGGTCCCTGTGTGGATCTGCACGTTAGGCAGGTTGAGGACCTGATGTGCAGAGACACGGCTCTGGAGGCAGGCACTCCTCACACTGAACCATTACCCAGGCACAAAGAAAACACATTTGCTGGAAAACACATGCCCAGGAGCTTAAAACACTCCCTCTGATTGTGGGCAAAAGTCACACTGACTTCTTAAAGAGAAAGCTGAACTGAAACTGGTGTTTTCACAGCAGAAAGATAACAAAGCACACAAAGACCTTAGACCCACCTTAGAGCAGGTGGTACTGACAGCGAGAGCTCATGGGAGAGGGAAGGGTGTAATTTCCCAGAACACAAGGAGGAAACAGATGACAGGAGAATGACAGAGGAGAGAGCAGCACACCTAAAAAGGATGGAGCTGCCTATTCTTAGCCCTGGGTTCAGCCACACGTGGCTATCTGTATTATCTCAGCACAGAAGAATCCCCAGTGGGCTCAGTGTCAGGCCGCATGGACGCTGCTCAATAGAACAGCAGCACAATGACCTCTACCTGTACCCGCAGCGGCATATAATCCTCACAGAGGTCATCCCACAGCTCCTGCAGTTCAGAAATCTCCAGGGAAACACCCAAAGGAGCTCTGGAAAAGGATTTTCTGTCTGCATTCAGGAAGGCAGATCCAGTGGATGCTAAGCCAGCAGAAGCACTGCCATCTGCCAAATCACGACTGAGCCTGGCAGAGGACAAGCTGGACTTCACAGGAATAGGTAGCCTGCTGCCTCGAGGACTCTGAAGGGGTTTGTAGTCCAAAGCCTTGATCAAACTGAGGGCAAGCTCGAGCTTGTTCCCACTCTGCGAAGAGTTTGGGGTCACGCGGTCATCTGAGAAGTCATCACACCTCCCATTCCCTTTCATCCCCTTATCTGCATCTTCATCCTTCTGCTGTGGAGGGCTTGCCTCCACAGTCGTGTCCAGGGACTCGACAGAGGATGCAGGTGTGCCTTCCTCCATGCTCTCCCCATCTACGGGCACTCTGGCACTGGCAGACTCTGCCACATCACACACAGATGACTCTTCATTGCCCATGCTGGCTGACCACCGGCTGGACAGCCCGCAGGAGATGCTTCTGGCCACCTTTCGTGGCACTTTGCAAATTGCTTCGTAGTCAGCATCAGCCACCCGCAGCGCAGCACAGCCACGGCAGCGTCGCGGGCGGTTGCTCACTCCCTCTGAAGCATGGCAGCTGTGTGGCTCCAAGCTGTGCTCTTCTTGATCCATCCAGTATTCATACCCAGAATAAGCAAAGTCCTCCTGGAGGAGGGCAGCATACCGCGCGTCAGGCAGGTTAGAAAGGTCCACAGTCCCATCCCCAGCTCTGTCATCTGTGCTAGAGTCTTCATTGTTCCTGCGGTACATGCTTGCGATGCAGAACTTGAGGCGGTCTTTCTCCAGCAGCAGTTTCTGCAGCCGCTCGATGGAGAGGGCTTCGATGCGCGCGATGACTGTGTCGAACCTGTAGATGCGGTCCAGCATGAAGGCACACTTGCTGCAAGCGAACTCGGATTTGCCATCCCGGCACAGCTCCCGGCCCAGGACGTGGGAGAGCAGCACCTGGAGGTTCAGCTTGGCCGCTGTGTGGAAGATCCATCGCCGCTGGTTGCCGCACAGCTCTCGGGCACAGATCCGGCAAGTTTCCTTCATCCTCCCTCCTTCCTGGCACCCAAACCTACTTCTGGGGCTCCCGAGAGACCCTGCTAAGGCCTCTAACTGATCACTCAGTGCATCTCCTAGGGTACAGCTCCTTTCTCACCCCATCAATTCCCCCCCTTTTAGGGTGGGTAACACGCCGGGACTCCTGCTGCTACAGAAACATCCCACCCTGCAACATCTCTTTCCTATCTCAGCTCAGCCACATCAGGACTGCTCATTCTTCAGGCTGCCCCTCCCTTCGCTGCCTACCTCTCCTCACAGCTCCCCACCCTCCGACGCTGCCCCTCTCTCCTCACGACCCCCCTTCCCCGGGGCTGCCCCTCACCCCGGGCTGCCCCACTGCCCGTGCCCCACAGGCCCCGCCGCTCCTCCCCCCGCAGCCGCCGATGCTCCTGCCACGGCGGCGCCCAGCTTCTGGCTCAGATTTCAAGATGGCGGCCGATGACAGCACCCACGCGTGCGCGGCAGCCGCTGCGCCTGCCGGGATGTGTAGGCGGCAGGCCCGGCTGTTACCCGTGTGCGGTGTCAGCCCCGGACACGCGAGAGATTGCAGCTGCTGGGGACGGCGCCACTGCCGGGACGCGGCCCCAGTGCCAGTGTCTGTCCCAGTGCCACCACCGAGTGTCAGTGCCGGGTTCGTCCCAATGACAGTGCCAATGCCCACCCCCAGCAAGCAACGCAGGGGGATGTGTTGCACCAATGCACCAGTACCTGCACGGCGCCCCGTGCTACGCAGTGGGCACACACCGGGGTCCCCTGGCAGGACCACTGTGCGGGCAGCTCACGCACTGGTGTCCCATGGCTGCTGAGGACAGCGATGTGCCACCAAGACACAGCACAAACAGAGCTGTGCGGCTGCCAGGAACATGCTGCTCTGATCCCTCACAGCCCCCAGATCCTGCCTGGCACCGTGCCGGGCTGCTGAGGGTATTTTAAGACCAGGCGCAGGCAGAACCAGGCGCAGGCAGACAGGCGCAGGCAGAACCAACACCAGCCGAAGGACTCCAGGGCATGGTCCCTCCCCTGACACCGCGCACCAGGACCTCCTGGTCCCCTGCCCCAGCACCACGGCACAGCTGTACAAACACCCGATGCTGCCGGGCTGGACGTGGCACAGCCCTGGCCACAGCCCCAGAAAGGGACAGGGGTGACAACTGCCAGCTGAGCCCTGGGCAGGTGCGCTCCTCCCCAGGATGCTGAGCTGGGGTCCCCTCATGCTTTGGCCACCCACCTTCCCCACCATGGCTGGGGTCTCCTCCAGGCGCTGCTGCAGGTCCTGCTTCTCAGCTGACAGCATTTCCACAAGCCGGTTGGTGGCAGCCAGCTCTTGGGTCAGCTCTTCGATCCTCCTGAAAGTGATGGTAGAGCAGGGGATGCTCAGGGACTGGGACGGCCCCAGGATGCCACTGGAGACAGCTGGGGGTCGCAATCTCTTGGGCAAAGCAGAGCAGCCTTGGGGCTGCTCTCTCTTCCCCACAGCCCTCTCTCCCCTTGGGATGACCACTCAACGCCCCAGGATGCCCACAGCTCTCCAGCCCCACACAACAGCAACCTCTTGGTAGTTCTCGAGGCCGGGCACAGAGCACAGGCTGCCAGCATAGAGGGGATGGGTCCTGGACACCCACCTCTGGGCAATGGCATTGCAGCCATCATTGCTCTTGTCCTCCTCCTTTGTCCTCGCAGCTTCCTTCAGCTTCTCTGCCAGCTCCTGGCACCGCTCTGCCTCGGATCTGGCCAGTGCCGTGGCCTGCTCAGCCTCACTCCGTGCCAGTCTCGCCTCCTGCATGGCAGTGGAGTGATCCCACAGGCACTGGCCCCTGGCCTCCCCCCAGCCCCTACAGTCCCTGGGCTCACCTCTTGCAGGAGCTGGATCTTATTCTCCAGGAGCTCATAGACATGCTCTGACTCCCGCTGCTGCTCCTCATACTGCTGCTGGAGTGCTGCTTGGCTGCGGGTCGTCTGGTTCTCCACAGCCACACTGCCAGGCACAGAATGGCTTGGCATAGCATGGCACAGAACAATTTGGCACAGCATAGTGTGACATGGCATCTCACATGATGTGGCACAGCACTTCATGCTATGGCACGGCATGCTACGACATGGCATGGCACATGATGAACCATGCCACCCTGAGTGCTGGCAGCCCAGCTTCCCCTATGCTGTGGGTGCTGTTTCTGCAGGACCCCTGGGAAGGGCATACTATAACCTCCCAATGCTGCCCTGGGCACACTGCTCCTCGGGTGGCACATGATCATTCTCAGGCTCTGAACCACCAAAGCAGTCCCCCACACTCCCAAAACCAGGGGCTTCCCAGTTGCCATACCCCTGGGTCCCCTTTCCAGCAGTGCCCTGCTGTGGGACACCCATGCCATGGCCCCTGGGTATAGCACTGCTCTCCCACACCAAACAGGTGCTGCCATTTATTTTTGGCTGGCGCCTGGGCTGTAAGAGGAGCTCTGCGGGTGCCTGCTCCCATTGCAACCCCCTCCAGTCCCACTGCAAACCCCTCTGCCATCCACTGCGGGCAGGGTGCAGGCAGACAGCCCCTGTACCCCATATCCACACAAGCACTGCTGACAGTGGGGTCAGGGTGAGGGGCTTGGCTGGACACACTCACCATGTGTTGTTGAGGGCTTGTTGTTTCTCCTGCAGCTCTCGCTTCAGGCTTTCCACCTCCACCTTCAGCTCAATGTTCTGCAGGGTGGGAGGGAGGTGGGTAGGATGCCCCCGTACTTGCCTGGACAACCCCACATGCCCATCCCAATGCTAATGCATCAGAGGTGGCAAGGGGGTCCCCCCCACCCCATGGCAAAGGTTCAGGTGCTCCTGGCACTGAGTGGAACATGTGGTATTTTAGCCCACCTGTGCTACTGCGGGGTGTACCTGTTCCGTATGTCTGCACCCAAACTGGCACCACCACCTACCCTGGGCATCCCACCGGGCTGGGGGGACCCTCCCATACCCTCTCTGTGCTCCTGTCAAAGGCAAGGGGCAAACTCCCACACAGCAGCTCCCTCACCCCAGTGCTGTGGCCAATGTCTCCCCGGCATTCCCACTGCCGGGAGAGCTGCACTCTCCTGGCCCCACTCCCTCTCGGCAAAGCAAGAGCACTGGGAGGGAACCCCCCGCCGAGCGTCTCCCTCGGGCTCTCACCCGCCGGTAGACATCGTCCCGGCTTTCCTCGCCTTTCTGTTGGACGCGCTCCTCCAGAAAGTAGATGCGCAGCTTGAGGCTGAAATTCTCCTTCTTGAGGTCGTTGAGGTGCTGGGAGAGCGTGCGGTACCCGTTAGCCATGGCCGCTCCATGGGGGGGGCATCCCGGCACCCCTCACATGGCGCCTCGGGGTCGCAGCCCGAGGCCGTGCCCGCCCGCAGCTCCCACCGCCAGCCCCGGCCCCGGCTCCGGCTCCGGCCCGCTCGTGGGGTTTTTTTCGCCTCCCGGAGCTATTTGAGGAATCGCCGGAGCGGGACGGGTCGCGACGGGGACTGGCGGTGAAACCCGAGCCCCGGCGGCCCCCGCGCTCCTCGGCCGGGGGGCGGCCGTGGGGGGACGCGGCGGCCGGTGGCAATGACCGCTCTCCCGGCCCCCTCCCGCCCTCCGCACCCCACCGTTGCTCCCATCATGTACCCCGCAAGCACTTGGCAGTGCTAGGGGGTGCCGGCACCCCGCGGTCTCACCTGCTCAAAGTCCCGCAGGGTCTGCGTCTGGGCGAGGGGACCCATCTCCAGGTCCCGGAGCAGACACGTTTGCACGAAAGGGCCAGGCTGGGGCTGAGCACCCGGGGGGCCATGGGAGCCCCCCGGCTCAGCTGGCACAGTGTCCTCGTCGCCCTCACCCCACGGTCCGTCTTGGGAAGCTGGGAGGGAGCGAGGGCGAGCAGCAGTTAGACCGGCAAAGCGGCTGCTCCACAAACCACCTGCCTCTGAGATGTCACCGTGAGGGACGAGGGGACGCCTCAGGGCCCAGCGAGCTGCTGGCTGTCCCCTGGGGTGATGCGTGCTGCCGGGGTGCTGGAGCATCCCCCTCAGCAGGGCATGGGAGAGTGGGGTATGGTGGGGACTCTCGGGGTATCTTACCCGCCATGTGGCTGGCTCCTGGGAGCACGGCTGGCCTGTCACTGCTGCAGGGGTCCCTGCAGAGAGGAGCACATGGCCATGTCACGCACAGCATCAGGGATCCATCCCCGAGGGCCCCCCATGCACCATTCAGCTGTTGTGCCAGAGAGGCCAAAGAGTGTTGGAGGGAGGGGATTTTATCAAAGCTCTGTAGGGGAAGGAGGCTGCTGCATCTCCCCCACCCTAGGGGCTTTGCAAGCAGGTGGTGGGCACTGGGGTGTCAGCAGAGGTGAGCTCCTGAAATCAAGTGGTCACAGTAATGCAAAAGCATTTCTAGGGTGCAGGGTGAACTCCAGGCAAGGGATGCACCCTTGTGCATCCATGAGGGTGCATGGGGGGGACAGGGGTGCGTGCCTGTGCATGTGTGCACAGGGGCACACGGGTGTCCCTACACACGGGGGTGCACGTGTGTGCTCTCCGCAGCTGCGAGGCATCCTCTCTAAGTGTAAATGCACAAGGCCCTGGGGGCTGTGCAGATGGTGGTGCCCCCCTAGGAGCACTTTAGCCCCATTAGCAGCTCTGACAGGGCCACCTGAGCCTCTGCAGCAGCCTCTGGGGAACCAAAGAAGGGGATCTGGGTGCTGGCAGCAAGCAGGAGCTGCTTAAAGCTGTCTAAGGCTGACTGGCTGCTCTCCAAGGGGCCCCATGCCTCCATGCTATCACAGCTCACCACCACCCCACTGCAGCTGCAATCAGGTTTACTTTCAACTGAGATGCATGAGTCATTTAATGACTTTAAAGAAACAGAAGAAAAACAAAAACCCACACAAATAATAATTGACAAGAAAAATAAAATCCTTAAGAGGAGAGGAGAGGAGAGGAGAGGAGGGAGGGGAGGGGAGGGGAGGGGAGGGGAGAGGAAGGAGAGGAGAGGAGAGGAGAGGAAAGGAAAGGAAAAGAGGGGGGGGGGGGGGGGGGGAGAAAGAAAAGAAAAGAAAAGAGAAAAGAAAAGAAAAGAGAAAAGAAAAGAAAAGAAAAGAAAAGAAAAGAAAAGAAAAGAAAAGAAAAGAAAAGAAAAGAAAAGAGAAAATCAGAGCATGTTTTTTCTAATCTCAGCATGACAGCTTTTGGGTGGGGTCCCATGAGCCACACGGCCCCCAGCACTATGGTGGGTATAGTGCCCTGCCCATATGCATGAGTCTGACCCCCAGTGGACAGTCCGAGCCA